ATGGAAGATATGAAAGCCAGTTCACCTTCTTTTGAAATGGTCTATAGATGTTGAGCCTGCAGTCATCTGAGCCAGACAGCAGTAAATCACCTGATTCATTCCAAGATATTGAATTAACCTAAAAACAATCATAATAGCTAGTTTCACAAATTGCTTTGCCCAAATAGCCAATAATTTTCCGGTTTAAGGGCATTAGGACGTTCAAATATAAACAACTTTCACTGCTACAACTTATGTATATTATCAAATATTTTAGAATTATTATAGTACATTATAATATCATATCATTATATTATTAAATCTAGCAAAGGCATTAACTATATGAACTTGGATGACTGCAGTTTGGCGACGGCTGAGCACGACAATTTCTGTCCTTTATTCAATATGCACAAGCCTGTTTTAACTTTAAAAAGCAWACACAACTTACACAACCATCGTGTCCTGTTAACGTCCCACTTCTCTCAAGRCATTGAACGAAATACTTGCTGTCTAAAAGACAAAACAACGGCCTCAACACGTAATTTTGTTTATCACTTTATCGAAGGTCATGTGAAAAAGTCCTTACAAACCTCTTGCCCGGCGATAAACGACTTCAGAATCTACACAGCCATACACGCGCTGTTGTAAAGCATAGTGTAGACCGTCTTTTAAGTTCATTGTTTCGGTTTCTTGTGTACACTTTCATGACAGATATTCAAAACAACAACAATGCCCAACATGCTCGCCGCCATCTTGGATTTCGAAAATTTTTAATACGCATGCGTAGATGTAAAGTTCTAAAGCACAGGAACCCCAACAACTATTTGGACATAAAACATTTGAAGCACGTGAACTCTTTAATTCTTTTATTTTACAAATACATATCAATCCATGAATTCGGATTCTTTTAAATTTAGAGATTCAAGTTTATTACATAATAATAATCAAACACTTTTAATTATTTATAATGAATAATTTAATTGTGATAAGTTATAAACAATTTCTGAAATTACGAACGCGGGAACTTTATTGG